ATATCAACGGCGGAAAATCACACACCCGTCTAAGGAGACGTTTTGCGGTAACCACGAGCAGGGCCTTTCAGTACAAGCTCGTCCAATCCAGTCTGTCTTCCCTGACTTCCGATTTGATGACCTTCGTCCTGTCGAACTCTGGGCACTCTTGCCTCAGCATCCCACTTCGACCTTGACACTTATGGTGATAAAATTATCTTCTGCGCGCTTTGTGTGAGATGCGTTTTTCTGTTGAAAATCGATGAGTTGTAGTCATAAGACACATATTAACCCTGTCCAACTGCAGTATTTTCATTATCCATTCAATTTTACCGACCCAATGATGAATTCCCTAAAAGCTTTCAAGTTATATATAAGAATATTTACTGAACTCTCATTGTTTACTTCAGGTAACCATTTTCAGCCACTATCGCCCCAAAACTGTGGCCGTTTCTGAACATGCGCACGCTTTTTCTTCTTATTGCCGCTTGAGCACACCGCGTTTGGCTACGGCCATGCTCATCAGTAGTAGACCTGTCTGACTAAAAAGAGCTGCATGCTTAATGTGTGTCATAGACAGACATCGTGAGTTTGACTCTACAAACCCAGACGTGGTCGGATTAAATTGCTTATACTTATAATAGCGAATGAATTCCCACAGAGCTGACAAAATACTCATGGCCTCCGGTGGGGCCTTGTAATGCAAATGGCTGTCATGGGTTCGAATGTCACCGAGTTTTTTTTTTTCAAAACCCCCTTTTAGTTCATTGTGTCAGGTAGTCATCTCGTGGATCCTAGCTTGATTGCTTTGGAGATCCTGCTTGAACAGTCAGTTTACTGTATCGGAGTTGGTGGATCCAATATGTTGCGGTAGGCTGGGTGCATAACTTGTCCCAAGTAGGATTATACTCACGACTGCCCGTGGGGCCTTATAGATCCGGTAGCTAGTGCCTTGGCATACAGGGTACCAAAAGTCAATGTAAAAGAGCCAACAGTTCAATATTAAATTTTGTGTTGTTTTACTGAAGCCTCGCTGGTCGTGGTGACGGCAAAATGACCGCAAACGAAGGTCGCGGCAAGGCGGCCTTTATTTTGAGGCCAAAGGGGATCCCTA